TGCACACGTAAAAGCAAATCAATTCCTAGTTAATAAAAGTGAAAGAGATTTCAAGAATAAAGAAAAAAAAGATGATGCTTGGAAAATAATTGCAATGTTACTCAATAAATCAGGTATGTTTTTTATGTACCGTCTTTGTGTAAAATTAGAGGTTACTTTTAATCTATAACCTCAATATAGCCTCAAAGCTGTCAGACACCAAATAATTTTATTTATTTCTTGTTGTGTTTACACTATTATTTCATTAAACTTCGATTAATTGGCAAAAATAGCCAATATTATCTGACTATTCCGCTAGCTAATCATGGATTAATTAATTGAAATTGGTTAAAATCAATTATTATACATATCTTTATTCTACTTTTAATTTCAGAGACAGAAGTACAAAAGAAATGGAAATTATTGAAAACTGTATTCAGTCGCAAATTGGGGCAGTTAAAGCAGAAAATGCCAAGTGGGAGCGGAGCTGATGCAAAAGGAAAAATATCACAAATTGAGTGGGAGTACTGGGGGAGTACTGGGGTGATATGCAATTTCTTATACCACATATACGTCACAAGTAAATTACAAATGATATCATTTATAGAAGATATATTCATTTTCTTATTCATAATTGTATGCACTTATATGATGTTTGAAGTATGATTAATATTTTCATTCCTGTTTTATTGTCTCAGATTAAACAGAACATCAAATTTTCATAACAAACAACTTCAAATCTCTCCTGCGTCTTTGGGTTCTCCTTCAAACTTGGCTTCTCCTTCAAACAGTGGAAATTCGGTTCTTAAATCAGCCAGAGAAACAGATAAAAACACAATCAAATGTACTGCAATTGAATCATTGCCTTTGCAGAATGCAGACTTTATATTACCTGAAAATCCAAGTATATAATATATATTCAAAAATATTTAAGTTATAATTGTTTTCAATTAATTTAATGTACATGTTACATTTAAATTTGCAGGTTCTGCATCGCTCCTCACGCAAACACCAAGTAGTGAAATAATAGTGGTTTCTACAAATGATTCTTCACATCTTGAAACATTGTCATCAAGCAGCTGTGAACAAATAAAATCTATGTCTACTAACGAAAGTGAAAGTAAGAAATATTCATTTAGCATGAAGTCTAAACGCAAAGTTCCTACAACAGATAAATTTTACACGAAAAGGAAGAAGGAACTTGAATCTTGCTCAGCTCGTATGTCAGAAGCATCTGAGTGTATGAAGGAAACACTTACCGCAGTAACACAATCCTTGAAAGAGCCAAGTGAAAGTGATGATCTTCAATATTTTGCTTGTCTTCTGCCTATATTTAAGAATCTAAATGATGACCAAAAGACTGAATGTCTACAGACATTGCTGAATGCTATGATAGAATTTGGAAAAAAAAA